CAGAGGCATGTCTTTCATTTAAGGCCTCGTGGGTGGAAGCAAATCGAGGCACCATTTCCAGCTATGCAGAGCGAGACGTTTATAACACAGATGGAACTGCGCTATTTTATCACTCTACCGGAAAAAACTCGCGCCATGAAAGGCGACACTTGCACTGGCGGCATATCAAAGTGCGCATCATAGCACTTTTGTGCACTAATATGGATGGCAGTGAATGGCGCGTGACCTTTGTAATAGGCAAATCGAAGAAGCCGCGTTGATTTCAAGGATATGTGCCTGTTCGGGACTGACATAATGCCAAAGGGTGGATGACGCGCGATTTATTTCTAGAGTGGTTGCGCGAATTTGACCAAGACATGCTCAAGTAAGGCACGCTGCTCGTGGTCGACAACTGCTTGGCGCACCACGTACAAGCCTCGCTGACGGCAGTAACCCTGCTTTTCCTGCCGCCCCACACATCTAAGGTGCAATCACTGGATTTGTGCATCATTCGCGTGTTAGTTATTATACGCGCCGCGTTGTGGAGTGCTTGCTCATAGCTGTTGACCGCCTGGCAGCCAACCTGCCACTTCGGGTGACCTTGTGCTCAGCTTTGGAGATGCTGAAGGCTTCGTGGACTGAGGTGACGGCTACATGCGTGCAAAACTGTTTCGGCAAGGCCAGCTTCGTTGGTGCTGGACCCGATGCGAAGTCAGTAGCCCCCCCCCCACCCCCACCCCGCCCCCGAAGAGGACCAATCCGCCTATTTGTGCCAGTGCGTCGAGCGACTGGGCAGTGGAGAAGCATCATCACCGGGTGCCTCACGGTGGGGCCCTGCATGCTACATGGCTGAAGCGGATCGGCCGTTCAGCTACGAACGTACGTCGGGGGACCTGATCGTTTGTGGTCGACACTTCGCAGATTGGCCATCCAGCAACGAACGTACGTCGGGGACCTGATCGCTCGTGGTCGACACTTCGCACCTGACGCTTACACAGTTGACCAGCGGCTGGTGCAACAAACAGTAAACAACCACGCTTCGCAGCTAGCTGGAGTGTGTTGCGACTGATAGAGTTCACCGATGACGTCATTCGATAGAGTTCACCGATGTCATTCGCTGACGTGGTGTCATGTTGCCAAAGTGGGCAGAGTCGCAACGATCCGCTACGCCTTCCCTTTTATGAAAGGAAGAAGGGGGGCGAGGCATGTGGAAATGAGGTGGTGGCCGTATTCTATAGTCAATCTTATTATCGACGGTTTATTTTGATTCTTAGGGGGTAGCTTGCTGCAATGTTGGTTACTATCTAAAATGTGAACGGCGTCGTCGCAGTCGTCCTGAAAGGTTGCTGCGAAGTTGGCAAATTTGCGTTGTAGTGCACGTTTTTTGGGCGCCCCTCGAGATCATAGCAGATACCATTGTTGCGTTAAACGATTGTGAGAAAAGATAGCCGTAAAACGCTTTTATGGCATGTGCGGGCGATGCGGAACAGCTTGCAGAAGATGACGCCATCAACCACCGAAGATAAGTAAAGTGCAACAAAGTAGCCGTTTCCAAACAGTGTACGCATGTCAGTTGCGAAAGGCTAAGCAGCCCAACTTTTTTTTTTTTTTTGAAAGACGATAGTCTTTCTTGGGGGCCTTCGACATGATGATTTTGGTCTGTTTATATGTACATTTGTCTGTTTGTCCACCCTTAACGGCACCCTAAACGGCACCAAAGTGACCAAACGATACTCCAAACGGCTGACCCCATTTGCAGCGCCCACCAATATTGCTCAAGGTTCAGCGTTCATACTTGTGTGATTGTCAATTAAAGAGCAATTATTGCGCATATCTGAGGCACCATAAAAACACATCGATATTATGTATGTGTATTTTTTACTAGAAAAGGTATACATAAGTAATTTTAAGGATCGTAGCCTTTACAACACTGTGCTGGCCATGCAATGCTTGCACGAAATGGCAAGTGTTTCCAACGCTTTGCTAAGACGACACAGTGGTGGCACCTAGCCGTCGCCTTGCGTTCTACACCTTATCACTTCAGCAACGGACGCGCACGGCGCATGCCCCGTTTTCCAGGATAACTGCCAGATAGAGCTCATTTCTCACATGTGATGTGACGATGCGCTTGTTCGCCTCCGCTGCACGCTCAAGGTACTCTTAATACAGCGCCTCCAGAATTCCGTTCACTGACTTTCTTGCGCAGAACATCAAATGAACGTTTTTTTTTTTTTTTACTCTCTCCAGACGCAAGACTATCGTCTTTTGACGACATTTGCGGTGTAACATGCAGATACGGGGCCAATTGTTTTTTTCCATTACCGCTTGTCCCGACGTGGGAGTCGCCCACTGCGCGCCGACGCGCGTCTTGCAGGACCACAAAGTTCCGCAACCAATTACTGCTTTTCTTGGCTCGTCCCAAAAAAGTTCTCATAAAATTTTCCCCACATAATAAACTCACCCAAACTTCTCTAAGATTTTTTAAGAAAAAGTGTGTTCATTGCGCAGCGAGTAAATACGGTAAATGAGGAATTATATGTCAGCTGCCAGCTCGCAATAAGATCACGTGCTACGTGACGCCACGCAGATTGATAATACACTCGCTGCCATGGCTTCTGGGGGCACTGACTGAGACTGCCACGTTTAATACACATCATGTATACCCAATAAAGTGGATGGCGGGATAGTCGCCATGGTAGCTCAGTTCACAGAGCATCAAACGCGTTATTCAAAGGTCACAGGTTCGGTTCCTGCCCATGGCAAGTTTTCTCTTCATCCACTTGTCTTTCTTCAAATTTATATTACAATTAGGTCTAATCACTTCTTTTATACTTTTCTTGTATTATTGTCTGTTAGATCTCATTAATATTGTTGTAAACAAGAAAAAACGAGCCCTAAGTATACACTTCCTTCACACACACCTATATATATATATATATATATATATATATATATATATATATATATATATATATATATATATATATATATATATATTATAGGGTGCAACAGCTGTGCTAATTTATACGGTTCCTTATTGTTGTGCTGAAATGCGCCAAAACCATGAAATTGCGCCATGCTGCACCGAAATGACTGACCAGCCTCAAAAGTTTTTCAGTTGCGCTAGTTTTAGCAAGAAATGGAGGCCACGTTGGTGATCTGAAGTTCGTGCCATAAATTTATCCAAGCGCACAGACCATAACTCGAAATTACGGTGTAAGATATATTGCAATTTGGTTAGGGCACTTGAATTATGGTGTAAGATATATTGAAATTTGGTTAGGGCACTTGAAAGTAGCGCTTGACCAGATAGAGTAACAATGCCGCTTGCCTATCGGTCCACTGACTGCAGCAAATACCTGTCAGTGGTGCAACGCAACTTTGACAGAAATGCATTACCGTAGCCATCACTTCTTCTTGGGAAATATGAACTTCTTAGTCAGCAAGCGTGGTTATGGCATGTTAGCACCAAGAGCTGGAAACACATACCGGGTTTTTTGTGTGTGAACAGTCAACATGCTGCTAACGACGGCATTGTCAATGACCACGTTGGTCGCCATAGCGAAAGCACATGCAACATTTTGTCCCGTTTGTGAGGTGTGTTAGCTGCGTACTCCCGGCGATAAGTATATGGTGCTGTCGCCGGATCAACGGGCGCGTGCCGTTACTTTATCTTGGTAACGCATCTTGCGAGTAAGCCGAGAAGTTTTGACCTAAACCTAACTTCATGAAAGGAAAAAAAAAAGGAGGGAGGAGGGGATTCTGCGCTGTTCGAAAATTTTTTGCCCATGCAGAACGCTTGTTAACCTTCTTCGCCGTAGTACACCAGTGCCTTGCGGAAAAGCATATTTCGATTTGGAAGGAGCTGTTAGCAGTAATGACGAGACACAGCTCATTTTGTTCAATTACTGATGCATGTATACGCCACATAACTGTGTGCTAGTATGACTGCCGACTTCAAAAAATGTGACGGGCAATCATTTGGAGCAGCGTCTAAGATTGCTGGCTCTTGGGTTAACGCGCTTTTAACCATACAGTGATGGACTGCACAAACACAGAGCACAGACTAACAACTATTTTATTTTCAGACCTTTTCCTCGCATTTATATAGGGCGGATGGGCATCGCAGAAAACGTGAGGAAATAAGGAAATACTGACATGGGCATGCGTATGAAAAAGTTAAATTGATTTTATAAAATGAACTTGTTTGAAGAATAAGATTGGCCGGCTTGTTTGATCCTTGCTTCAGTCATGTTCGTTGCCCGCATTCACGCGCTTTTACTGTAGAGGTAAACACACGATGCACGAGAGTATATTCTCAATTTGGACCTTTTACGGGACATGATGGTGACGGCAAAAACCCATTGATAGTGCCCACATCATTGTTAACACAGTAGTAAGGCTATTGTATAATTTAGCTTGGTGTTAGAAGATGCGGCATAGGACAAAAGTTACTTCACAAGAGCTTTTAAATGGGGCTACATTTAATCTGAACGTCCTGACTGCTTAAATTTGCTCGAAAAAGCTTTTCTGTGTTCTGCAAGCCTGCTTCAAAACATCCTTCTGGATGCTCTAAGTCTGCCACAAAAGGTACTTTTACCGGCTTCCAGGGTTTCTGCTGAACCCATGTACCCTGTTCCTCCTCTGCGCAGTGTATAGAAGTTTGTCGCCTTTAAGACACATCTGTTTATGGGTCAAGATGTGGCACTGTTGAACTGTCTGTATAATCAAGCATATCCAATTTATCAGTTGGTGGCTTCAATTTCTTTACTTACCTGTCATTGCTGTATTTCTTCGGCCAAGTTGCTTGCCATGTGATGAAAGGACTTCACCAACTATGACACTGGTGATTACAGAAACTTCCATCCATCGTTACTGATGGCATTGGCAACTCTGGCATAGAAGTAAAGACATTTGGTAGTTTTCTGCATCTCATAGAAAAAAAAAAACACTGTAGACAGGACACTTTGATTCTTCATTGCACCTGAACGTTTGCATTCCTGTGCATTGTCTAACTGCAGAACTGGCTCCATCGGGTGTTCTTCGACCAGTGGTGAATGCGTGGGAAAAGCCAATCACCCATGCACTGCGAGGAGGCAGCCCTCCGTCGTCAGCCTCACAATCGATGTCTGCTCCAGCTGTGTCCTCTGCAGACGTTCTTGTTTCCTCCAAGTCGAGCAGCTTTGATAGAAGCAGTGATCAACATGACAGTGGCATTGACGTGAGCGACCTGCCAGCCTCAGCCGCGTCATCTCAGCGCTCTTCGCCTAGTAATGATGGCAAAGCTCCACTCCTTGGAACCAGTCCAAAAGGCTTGGCTGCCATACCTGTTGGTGTGCCACCTTCTGCTGTGCCACCTTCTGCTGGGGTGAGTGCTGCTTTTTTTTTTAGCCACGTGAAAGTGTATGAGGGTGGTAGAGGTGTTGCATAGTAATAAGGAAACATGAGTGGCTGAGCACACTTGCCAAATGCCAATTAGGCTCACCTTAGCCCGAATCATGAGAGAGGAATGGGCTGCTAAGTGCTGAAGATGAGTCGGACCTTAGTGCATTGCTAACAGCAAAGTTTGCAATTTACGTTATATCAAAACTTGCATACAAGGTGAAGATTTGACACAATGAAGCAAGTAGCCTTTAGTGAATTCATATTAACGCTGAAAGTTCTGTAAAAATTTAGTTTTGCAGTCTGACAAACAACGAAATCAATTTGGTAAGAAAAAAAAATCAGTTTATTGAACTCAGCATGAGGCAGCCATGACTTTACACTGTGCCATCTCAGCAGCTATATGGTGCAAAAAAATGCATGTAATCGATGCAAGTAAAACTATTTCAGGAATGGCACATTGTTGAATATTGTATTCACTGAATCGAGCGTCCTGTTCTCCATTCAGCATGAGGAAGGATTTTGGACCAATTGCATACGCATGCACGCACTCACAAAATAGAAGATAAAAAGTCAGTTGTGGCACCTCTCATCATGCTGAACCTTTTCTCCTTTGTGGTATTGTGCATGCGTATGTCTAAAGAATCAAGCAGCATTCAGTACAGTGTCGAGAATTTGTTCACCGATATACATTGGTTCAACAAATATTTTATCACATAACACAAATCATATCGCCGTATTTACTTGTGTAAGGAACCCACTCGCATTATGGAACCCACCCCCATCTTGGTCCTTGGAAAAAAAAAAAAATGATAGTGTCATCCACGATAGGAACATCGTTAAATCAAGCATTTATATCGTAAAATAACGATGCAATTAAAGTCAAAGCACAGACAACCATGCTAAACTGTTGCGAGCAGCGTGAGCGCTGTTGTCAATAAAAATGTAAAAGTCGCTCCTTTCGCAGTAGAGCGCCATTTGTGGAATGCAGAAGAAACCTTTTTACTTATAGCGTCACGCAAGTCCAGCGGTGCGAAAACGAAGCGCGCGGCCTCCAAGGTGGCAGGCGCGTATTGTGCTTTTACGCCGTGCGCCCGCCATCTCGGAGGCCATGCAAAGCGCAATATTGCTCACTGCGCAGACGGCACGTTGTGCATCCGCAACGTTTGTGCGCTGCCATCCGACGCTGTGTTTTTGTTGTAAAGTTTGTTGTAGTGAATTTAGGATACCTGCTGCGCAGGGCGCGTTCGGCCGGTACACTAGCTCCACGGCTGCATGCGCTGGAGCACGGAAACCGAGCGGCTGGACGACACTTCGGCATCGATCGGTACGTGCTCGTTACGGTGGAAAACAGGGAGGGCTTTGGGCTACAGAAAGGATTGATCTTCATTTCACTGGCCAAAACAATCATGGGAAATTTTCGCTGTTTCAACTCCGGTGACTTTTTTCCCCCCGCATAGTAAGCTCTCCCCCCAAATTATGGTCAACTTTTCTGAAAAAAGGGGTGGGTTTATTACGCGAGTAAATACGGTATAGGGTTGAAAATTTTGGGGTGGGGGAGAGTGTGCAACTCCCAAAAAGTGTTAGGTAGTTGTTGTAGCTCTGTACTCGCGAAAAAACACTTCATTTGTAGTAAAATTGCCTGTTTCTTTCGCATTGTCATCATGCTGAGAACTTATTCTCATATTTAGAGTCTGGAACTTTTTTTTTTCACTTGGGATCTTGAATAGTGATTTTTGTAGCATACTGAAATTGCTTTTTTTGTGATTATTCAGATAGCCAAAGGGGAGCAAAAGATTGTGAAAGCAAATTAATGGTTTTACATACAGTGGACTCCCAATAAACAAAACTTGCTTAAACGAAAATGCCTCATTAACGGAACTAAATGGGCTCATATGGCTGGATTTCTATGTGTTCCGTAGTAAAATTCTTCGGCTAATCGAAACGGTGCTTACTGGTCACCTACGGTTAAATGGCACAAACTCTAAACACGGCATAGACTCGCTCAGGCCAAAGGTAGTCTTACAACCATGGCAACACCTCGTGACAAGCCAATCCAGTAGCCATTCTTGCTTGTGGTGGCTGTGGGATTAGAGTCGGCGCGTCAGTTGTGTGTTAGGCCTATTTGTGCGATTTATTTCGCCCTTAAAGGCCCGAAGGCATTACATAAGGGGGGACAAGTAACAAGATAGGGTACAATGTTCAACAGGAAAAAGCAAATAAACAAATAAAAAATAAACAAATAAATGAATAAAAGCAAATAAGTTTACACATGAGACAGGAATCGGAAATCGCATGAACGAACTAGAACAAGATAAAAAAGAATACACAATGCTTTACATATGTTAAACAATTGCAGAGCAAAACTAAGTATAATTCTAAAATGATTAGCGATAAACACGAAGTAGTTGAGATTATCAGGAGAGAGGCTTGAAAAAATGTTCGTCGTTCAGTTTTGCGCGGAACGTTTCCCTGTTGGCGCATGGAGCGGAGTCATCCGGTAAGGCATTCCAGAGGGCTATTGCATTAGGAAAAAATGAGGTGATAAATGCTGTCGTCCGGCCATTTATGCGTGCAATGGGCCTGCTGCGATTTATGCGCGATGAAGTGAGGTAGATCACGGCGTTATTTCAGCCGGATGTAAAGGAAGCGGCCGCACCATGCACTCTCGCTTGAAAAAAAAAAAAGCTCCAAATTCTTCAGGAGATCGATGATCGAAGTGGCCTGCCCAAGACGGAGGTAACGAAAAAATACAACATCCCGAAATCGATGCTGTTGCGAATCTGCAAAGGCAGGGAAAAGATGGAAAGCGCTTTAAAGAACGGGACCCTTAGATCTATGCGAATGCAGACGATGCCTTATGAACAACGCGAAAAAGTTCTTTTTCTGTGGTTCAAGCATGCACGTAGTTCCGATTTGCCCATAAGCGAACCAATTCTCGGGCAGAAAGCTCGAGAGATCGCCATGCAAATGGATGGTGAGAACTTCGTCCTAAGCGACGGATGGCTCAGCCGCTTCAAAACACCCTATGGCCTAGTCTTCAAAACAAAACAATCTCAGGTGAGAGTGCTGCAGTCATCAGGGACAATTGCACCGACTGGCAACAGGCACGGCTTAAGGGGGGACGCAGGTCTTAGAATGGTGAAAAACGGCCAAAAAGTCGATTTTGAGAAAATGCGATATTTGAAATTTTTAGACCTATAAGCACGTGTTCTCAAATTGTGAACGCTGAATTCGATCAGTAAATGGATTAAAATTGATTATGAAGTCCCCACGGGAGCCGCGAAACAACCCACGGCAGGTCAAATTTGTTCAAACATCCCGCACGCTCTGCCGGCGAGGCAGTTGGTCGATCGCCGCCATCTTGGGCTTGTTTTGAAGCTAATTCCCTTGTGCGCATTTTGCCACCCTTCAAAATGGCGTCGCTTAAACAGAACGGCTGCCCTTGCCCCCTTTTCCGGGCCGCTGATTGACCGGAGCTCGCGCGCACCAGGCGAGCCCCCTGTTCCTCGCTTCCCATTGGCTGATGCAGCCAGTTTCCCGTGCTTTTTTTTGTATATTGTTCGTCGGCCGCCGGTTCCCGTTCGCGACGTTCGTCTGCTTTTCGCACGTGCCTTCTTGTGCTAGGCGATCGATGCACCGACTTTTCGTCTTTTGCCGGCACGACTGGAGACGGGCGTCTAAAGAAGTCGCGCCAAGCGTACGGCAAGAAATGGAGGCGCCCGTGGAACGCCCGCCAGAAGAAAGCAGCCGACAAGGTGCAGCCGATTTCGCCTGATGCCGCCAAAGCGGCGCATTCCGACGACTGCGCGCAGCCGCGGCCGCGTGTGTCCGAAGCGGTGCACTCTCCTGTGCCTTGCATCAGCACCTCATCGGATTGTGTCGTTGTCGGATCGTCATCTTGCACTTCCAGCAGCATCCTAGACCGCATTGACACGGCGTTTCATTTGGCGGACGAGTTTGCTGAGTGTTCGAGAAATGCAGCGGGCTTGAAGGCATCACTCGCATCGCAGTGCTCGCACGTTAAAGAACCCCAGGTGGTCGAAATTTCCGGAGCCCTCCACTACGGTGTCTCTCATAATTATATGGTGGTTTTGGGACGTTAAACCCCACGTATCAATATCATCAATCGCATCGCAGTGCGCGAGGGAACGTAAGTTAGAGTTACTAGATATTGATCTGGAGGATGGTGGCAAAGAAAACGGGACAGAATTTGTTATTGTTGATCTGGCGGCGATACGCTCATTATTTGGACTTGTCGCAGGCCCAGAATGCGGTGAAAGAAGCGTCACTATTTCAAAGGCCAAGAAAGAGTACTGGCTGTGTTCGAAGCTCATAGTCACGTGCGGCAGTTGTGACTTTCGCGAAGAGCGTTTTTCGTCCCCACGTATAGCCGATGAGACCGACGCCAAAATAAGGCCGTTTGAAGTTAATATGCGTGCCATGAAGGCCATCAACAGCATTGGCAAGGGAGCAACGGCTCTGTCGGACTTCTTCGCCGGGATGAATATTTAGCATCGAGGGCTTCACCACAAGAGTTACCAAAGCCACATGAATATAATGAAAGAAGCCTGCTGTGCGACTGCTGCCGAATGTGAAGCGGCGAGCGTTGCTCGCGTCAAGGAGCTCTATGCGGAGTTCCACAACGCGCCAGGAAACATCGTCATTTATGACGACATCTGGCTTACGCGTGGACATAGCTCGCATGTATGTGTTGGCTGCATTGTTAAGACGTATAGTGGCCTCGTGATAGACCATAACGTGCTATCGAACTTTTGCCTGGCTTGCACCACAGGACCCAAGGAAGGAGAAACAGGACATTCTGCCTGGCTCATTCAGCATGCCCCTCTGTGCCAGAAGAATGTTGATTGTAATGCTGGCCAGATGGAAGTGGAGGCAGCACTACGCTTGTTTGAGCGGTCACTTGAAAAGCACAAGCTTCGTTATACGACAATGCTGTCGGACGGCGACAGCAGGACATTCCATGCACTCACAGAAAGAGTTGTACGGCTTCATAAAGGTGGCCAAAAAGGACTGCATAAATCATGTACACAAGTGTATGGGAGCTGCCTTACACGTACCCTTGTAGACAAAAAAAAAAAAAAAAGAAGCTCAAGGTGGCTCACTTTGTGGAAAGGGCAGACTTACGCAACAAAAGATAAAAAAGATCACCTCATACTATGGCTACGCATTGAGAAGCCACAGGAACGATGTTCCAGGTATGCAAAAGGCTGTTCTAGCAACTTTGAACCACATGTCTTCAACTGACGAGGTACCAAAGCATGACCTTTGCCCTGAAGGCCCTGAATCCTGGTGCAAATTTCAGAGAGCTCTTGCGAAAAATGAGAAGCCGCCACCACACAGCCTGCCTGATTTCGTAACTGAGGCATTGGAGCCTGTGTTTAGGCGGCTGAGCGACAATGCCCTCTTGGAAAGGTGCAGCGATGGGATCACCCAGAACACAAGTGAGAGCCTGCACGCTATGATTTGGCAGCAGGCCCCCAAAACTCGGCATGCATCCTTGCGGAGCATTGAAAGGGCAGTTGCCGAAGCCATCAGCCGCTTCAACCAAGGCACAACCAAGAGCAACGTGGAAATCGCCGAGAAGCTGGGCTACAGCGCTGGCAATAACTTGGCGTGTCATAGCCTTGAGAAGGGCAGGCTGCAAAAATAGTGAAGAGAGCATCTCGACAGCAGTTCAATAAAGGAAAGACTTTCAAAGCGTCACAATCCAGCAGGGGACTCTGCTTACAGCCCTGGTCTGCTGTAAACAGTCATGATGACAAATAGAATTATCGCAAAAATAAATGTTCTTGGTTTTAGACCTAAACATTGTGTAAATGTATTGTCTATCCAAGGACAACATTACTACACGATTTTTTTGTGTTTCTTTCACTTGCAAGGCACTGGAACGACCCCAAAGTAAAAAAAATAATAATTCTCATGCTGAGTCATTGACTATTTTGTAGTTCTAGAACAAGCTGTGAGCAGTATTCTGGGTGGGTACAGTGAAATTTAGCATGGCCTATTATCCTATAATATAGAGCTACAGAATGATGTCATTAATATCGCTGTAGCTTCACTTTAGCAAAAGTTAAAGTTGCTAGAAACTTCAAACTCGTTTTTCTCAGTTCCATGTTTTTGTACATTGCACTCGGCCTTACGGTGGTTTTTCCTATGCGACAAAGTTGGTATCATATTATTCGTCTTGACATGATCTGGGGGGTGATGCTATTTATATTTCTCTAGCATCACTTCAAAAATTACCATTGAAGATTTTAGTGAGAGAAATTTATTCTAATATAGTGACCATAAGTGTTCGTCCGT